AGGTCTGCCAAGAGGTAGTTAGCAGACTTTGAACAGAGGACTCAGTTGTGTCCCGGCGTCTCTGTGAAGATGTTTCCCTACTTAGAGCCCTGATTTGAGCAACTGGCTTTGGAGCTGGGGGGGAGCTGGATGCCCATTTTGTGCCATGCAGACAGGTCAGAAGGACTCAGTAGTGGCAGAAGCATAAGTGATGGCAAGACAAGTGGGTTGGGTTTTGCTTGTTTTCTCCCTTACTTCTTTGCTTCTCTCATTTCTCGGAGTCTCCAACAAGCAGAGACTCCCCATGCCTGAAGAAGGGTGACTGCTCCCAAAACCTTGCCAAGGACTTTTCCCCAACTACTCAGTTGGTCTAATAAAGATCTCACATCTATCCAAAGATCCTTGTGTGCCTGGGATTTTAAAAAGTATTTGTTTGCCTACTAGCTTTTTCCCCCCCTCATTGTCCAAGGGAGGCATGTAGCAGCCTGGGGGATTCTTACCTTGCTGCAGACGGCTGTAAATATCCAATGATCTTCTATAAGGAGACTTAAAACTCTCCCTGGTCTAAGCTGTTGAGGTTTCTGTTGAGACTTACAAGTTTGGAGAGCAGGGGCCTGGCACCTCCCAGTGCTTAGCGCATCAGAAAGTCTGCCCTACAATGTCCACAGCTATTGCAAAGGTCAGGTTTTAATATTGAGTCCTTAAGTTGATTTTTTTTTTTTTTTTTTTATTTTTTTTTTTTTTATTTTTCCCCCAGTGCTAGCTGCAGTCTGACTTCATTCAGTCTAACTCAGATTAAGTCGGCTTTCACTGTTTGCCTTGAGGACACGCGATAAGAAACTTGGAGCTTACAAACAGAGCTCAGAAAAATGCTTTGTTTTTTGTTCCTTTGAAGTAGAAGTTGCTTCTGCCTTGGCGTGGGTTGGACGGTTTTTGTTCCCTGCTGCATGGGACTTGGAAAGGGAGAGACCTCCCGTGCCGACACGCTTTGCCAGTAAGGTCCAAGGTTGGCTGTTACCTGCCCGTGTCGATGGTTGAGCTCTGTCTGTGTTGCTGAAACCTGCTGTAACATTCTCTTCTTTTGGATCAAGTAACGTTGGTCATCTAGTGGGAACGCAAGCTTAATTGCATGTAGCATGATCGCACGGTGCTTTGTGCACCGACTGCCGTCAGAGGGTTCCTAGACTCTGGGTTTACCGAGATCTACGACGGGAGACGGCTTTAAACCCTATTTATTGACTTCCTCCTGTAGGTCTTCTTGATAGCTGATGGCAACACTATATTCCTTAATGGACAGATGCCTTGGACAGCTTTCCTTGTGCAAAAGATGCATCCTCCTAAATGAGTCTGTTAAAAGGTTGAGCCTCAGCCTTTTGAGGATCCTCGTTCCCTCAAGACACAATTCCACAGTAATTTTAGCTTAGAAATCCCATTTTGCTGATTGAAGATAGTCCAGTCATTTTTTTTCTCCTTTCCTTCCATCCCATTTATCTTGCCTCAAATTACACGTTGGAGGGTGTAAGCAGGCAGCAAAGCTTCGAAGAAGGTACTTAACGATCGTGCAAGCTGACTTGGGGGTTAAATAGATCTACGGAGCAGTCTTTTACAATGACCAGGCTAAGCCACCTGCTTTCAGGGACACTGGACTTTTTTTTTTCTCAGTGAGTTGAATGTTTTTGTCTCCTTTGCTACGTTGATACACGTGCACTATGAGTCTTGTATAGCGTTGCGTTATCCTGCATGGCAAGGGAAGCAAACAGACCGAACACTTGTGTAATCCCTGCTTTTATTAACTTGTCTGATCTGCTAAACTGGCATATCAGTTGGCTCAGAGAAGTCCCCCCCGCACCACGTCCACGATCCTTGGAGAATTGCTAAACTTCAGACTGTATCTTGTGACTGATTTATACCTGAAGGAGAGCCAGTCACCAAAAAAAGTACTCTGGGATGCCAGACTAAGCTGGTATGGTTATCCTGGCTTGTTTTCCTTTCTGCAAAGAAATCCTCGAAGAATGTTTCAATAAATCTCCAGGATCTTTATCATAATGCCGCCGGCTGCAGTTAGTACTGCGTCTTATATTAAAAATGCGCAGACAGGACTTTTATAGCCCTGCTTCTAAGGTATCTGCCACGAGTCCTCTGGCGTGTCTGGAGTCGAGCATCTCTCTGACAAAACGCTGGGTGACATCATTGCTATATGCGGTCCTTGCCGTCCGTCGACTGAAATGGCTCATCCTATGGGAAGCAGCTGCCAGAAAGCGGCAAGCGTGTCTGTTGCTCCATTTGCTGATCCTTTAGCTGAAACGTGACCTGGTAGGAGCAAAACCAGTTGCACCAGTAGAGATGCTTGCCTCCATAAGCGTTTTCTGTCGCTTAAGACAGCTACTTGGCTAGAACAAGAGGTGCAGCATAGGTGGTCGTTGGTGCTACGAGAAACAAAATATTTGGCCCAGCAGGTAAAGGAACAGAGGAATCCGGGCTTGGCCTTAAGTAATTGGAGCACTGAAAGTCTTGGCTTTCTAATCTGTCTGGGAAGGCCTCTTTAAATATATTAAGTGGAGTTTAAGCAGGTTTCTTATCAGATTCTCGGGCCGTTTCTCTTCCCTTTCTTTTCATCGTAACCACAACGTCTGCCTACAGCGAACTCTTCCCCCACCAAAGTGCAACGGTTACAGGCTCCAGGTTTTTGGAAGGACCTGGACCAAATAAAAATGCAATTCTCTAGGCCTTGTAAAATTAAAGTAAAATGAATCAGCTGTAGTTTGAAGCAACCTCTGTGCTAGGTTGGGGGATTTTGGTCACTTTAAAGATTAGAATGGCTTCCTCTTGGGGTCTTTTTTCCCACCCCTATCTTTGACTGTAAACACAGCTGGGTCTAAGGAGGTCAGTATCCAGGTTGCATTGAGCTGCAAGTGTAGCTGAGTGTCTAAATCCCTTGGGGTTGTTTTAAAAATCCCAACCATGTGCTTTAGTTAAAGCTCTAGCATTTGTATTCCCAGTCCTCTGGGTTTTACAGCTTCTTAGCACAGATGAGTTCAGCTCCCAGTGGTAGCACCTGCATGTCTGTGACCTGCACGTGGGTAGCTTTGCATGGAGGAGAGTGCTGGTTTTGCCTCGAGTTCTCCATCTCGTATAACTTTGGAGCCACACACTTGGGATGTAAGAGCTGCATCTTTCGAGGGCGCTGAGCACGTGCGTCTTCCACTGATGTCAGCTGGAACCGGGTGCATCCGCCAGTGAGCAAATCAGGCTTGTCGTTTCATGGCCGATGAAGCTATTAATCTCTGAACATTCAGATTTGAGAATCTCTGATCACCATGTGCACGACTGGTTGAGAATAAGTGACTCGGTTTAAAAAAAAAAAAAAAAAAGGTTTCAGTGCTAATGGCTGGCAGGAATTGGGGCACTGGCACCGTGTTTATTGGGCAATGCTGGAGTGGTCGTGAGCTCCGAACGGATAGTGGTAGGTAGTGGTCATCGGTGGAAAGCTTTGCTTTGGAAGGGAAAGAGATTGTGGGTGGCGGGAGAAGTCTCCTGGCCAGGTGGGAGGTTTGAACATGGTGCAGGATGGATTTGATACGACCCATGAGCAGTTGGACTGCTCAGCTTGAATGAGCTAAGGTTTTTGAGTTGCATGTTTAACGTCCGCTATATCTGTCAACCGCGTTCCCCAGCCTAGATGCTGTGTGCCAACAGAAGCTTTCCACCACCTCCTTGAACAGCATGAGCAAAAGCAACAAAAGCTGCTTTGTTGGCATAACTTTTTCACCTACCCGGTGTCATCTTTTTCAAACCTCAAGCCAGTAGGCGTATTGGCAAAATTTCATAGTGCAGGCTAAGCCCTGATGTCTTTAGCACTGAGCTCAAGCAGCAATAAAACAGGGCTACCCCTTTCCTTTTAGTTATATCCAGAGGCCAATTTGATATGAAGAGTCCCCTCTGAGTGCTTGTGAGTGCAGTCTGCAAATACCGGTACAAGCAGGGAGGCTTTGTAAAACAGGCTTGCCAGGTACTGATTTTATTTTCAGCAGACTTCCAAGAGGAAAATCAGAGTTTGAGCAATAGATAATTGACTTTGCTGCTGGTTTGCAAGCAACAGCGGTGTTAAATGCAATGCATCCCTCCATGGTTACCTCTAAATGAGCAGGAGCCCTATTAACAGCCTCTCTCGGTCCATGCCATCCTCCTCTCCCTGTAAGTACAGGTGGCTGCAGATCTGTCGCCTTTCCCATTTCCCTCTCCTGCCTTCGGAGCTGATATGTTTCTTTTGCGCTTTGCAGAAACTCGAAGGGTCCAAGTGCAAGGGGCAGCTTTTGATATTTGGAGCAACCAACTGGGACCTGATTGGCCGTAAAGAAGTGCCTAAGCAGCAAGGTAGGAGACACTAAGATGTAGACATCTCTGGACTGTGGAGGATAAAATGCTAGTATTACTACTGAAGGTGTGGTGCCCGTCTTTACTGTCCTTCCCTGTGTACCAGTAGCATTTAGTCTCTCAAAATCTTTTTCCTAGTGGAGATGTGTAAGCCTCCAGAATGGACCGTGACGTCTTCAATTAACCTTTTGCCGATAGTCAAGTGACCCGCAAAGAAATTAAAGTAGAAAGCCTGTTGCCAGGAGGGGAAATCAGGGTGTTGTCTAGCTAGCATCTGACTGAGATCTGTGCGCTGATACGGGTTTTTTTAAGAGCAGGTTAGACGAACACTTGGCTGGGGTGGGGTGGGGTGGGGTGGTTTAGTCGGGGATGAGCTTGCCTTGAGCAAGGGGGCTGGACTGAATGATCTGAGGGCCCGTCCAACCTGACTTTTCTGCGCTTCTGCGGCTCCATGAAGCCATTAAGTTATGAAGTAATAGGAAAAAACCTTTTTCATTAGGAGGGTGGTGAAGCACTGGAACGGGTTACCCGGAGAGGTGGTGGACTCTCCATCCTTGGAGGTTTTTAAGGCCCGGCTACACAAAGCCTTGGCTGGGATGATCTAGGTGGGGATCGTCCTGAGCAAGGGGTTGGACTAGATGTGACCTCCTGAGGTCCTTTCCGACCCTAATTTTCTGTGATTAACTGCCATGAGCCAACAGCGTCCCAGCGTTGCTTATATGAAATTGGGTGCCATCCACAGCAGTTTCCGCTTCATCTCGCATGGTGGTCCTTGTAGAGGGCTTGCTCAGGGAAGTTTGCTACCAAAGACCCTTCCTTGGTGATCTCCTGATTTGGCTTTGATACGGTCCAGCCAAGATTCGCAGCCCAAGATAGAGGCTGTTGCTTGTGTGGGGCAAGATGATGCTCTGGATTGTTTTGTGTTATGAGTGGCTAGTAATTAATGCTGTTGAGGTTCAGGTTCAAAGGCAAAGTTCACAGAATACAGACCCAGTTTAATGCATGTTCCCTCCTTGTGCGCTCCACACTACCATGTCCCTGCTTTTTTTCCACCCTTTCAAGGATAGCATTGCTGCATAGAAGCCTGGTCCAGGACAGAGGGGTGCATTCATACCAAGTAGTTAGGAAAGGGGTGTTTCTGTCGCTCGTGTGTCTTCCAATTTCTTCAGTGAAGCTTTTCTTGGCAGCAAGTTTGCCTGAACTCGGTACTGGACAGACATTGCTGGGTCTCTTATAAAGCTGATGAATGTGCAGGCATTACAGCCGAGTCTGCAAAACTTTCAGCAATTCAAGATCTCTCCAGTCACAGCCCTCTCCCGTTATCCAAAGGGTGCTTGGAAACAAACTGTACCCCGTGTCCATGCTTTGCAGAGCAGTTCTGCTATAATTAATTGTTAGATCGTCTTGAGGGTGTAAAACCTGTTGCCTCATTGCCTGAAGATTTTGCCTTCTAGGTGTCCTGTATTTGCACTGCTTCTATATAAAGAGACCAGAGCGTAACAAATCAGTGGACCCCATTTGGTTTC